TATTTGCCTACTTTCTGTTTCTATTTAGATTTGTGATTGTAAATGTCCTTTTTATATAAATAAATGAAATACTTTGTATATTGAATAGGAAGTGTTCAATAAAGATGCGTGTTGTTTTTTGATTGGTAGATTTAATTATTTTATTTTCTTTCTGCATTGGAGGAGTTTTTAGTGGTATATGTTGTTATAGTAGCAGCAGAAACACTTTGTGAAAATTTCGAAAACTATCCAATGACACACAGACGGTAAAAAAATTTTTCTAGTATTATTCATACACACAGATAATAAACAAATATTATTAAAAATAAAATACCACGTCTTTACTTTGAATTATGCAAAGTAACAAAACACACATGCACCGAAGTTTTAACACAAGCGTAAGTAGGTAGGTACCTACCGTATCATGATTCATTCAGAACCGCATATAACTACCTATTTCACTCGTCTCAATAACTTTCCGTTACTCTATTCGCTTTATTTATTAATCCAAACACCTTTTTTTCGTAAGATAAAAGGAAATAGTTATCCATAAAAAAGACACACATTATGTACCTACCTACTAGTAAGTAAAATTATTTTATAGTCTTACCTTTCAGAGTTTCCAGGTAATTTAAAAAAACCTTATGTCTGGATGCGTTATTGACGAATTCATACAACCAAAAACAGCACAATATTTCCTACTCGTCAGATTAACTGATTTTTAGAGAAAAAATCGCGCGGTTGTTGTTAAAAAAAAACAACACACCGTCCGTTCGACACTGCGGTACAGCCGTGTTTGTCTGCGCCCCGAGCGCACCCCGAGATCGAGGCGCGTAGGTATAGCTCGCGTTTCGTCCGTTTGTATGAAGTTGGAGTACTGTATTATAATTGTACCGTGGCTTTACTATGCCGTTGACGTAGTACGCAACTTTGGTTGGGAACTGTATACATTGATAAATAGGTACCAGTGACTACCCTCCCAAATTAATAATTATTTACGCCTTTTGCTTTTGTAGTTTTTTCCTATATTCAACTAAACAGAAGATGTGTTAATATATTCAAGAGTGCTAGTTCAGTATTGTATAGCCTTAGTTGATGTACTGATTGTTATTAATGTAGTCATAATTACCTATGTAAGTATATTTAAATATGTATTGGCGATGACACTGATACACGGAAAACCCCGAATGAGTTTATACGGTATCTTAAAAAAAATATTAACTTTGTATTCGTAAGTGGAACCAAAATTATAGATAGAAAAGTGTAGATGTATATTATAAATATTCCGTGTAAGACATACATGAGCCACGGGCAAAAGCTATGGTAATATATAAAAATATATAATATGTATTCTATATCTATATCATTATATAAAAACGTTATGTTAGTTTGGTATACGCTTCAAAAACACAAAAGTTCTGCTTCTGTTAAGCTTCAAAGGTGGTTTATCTGTGTTTTTGTACCAGTTTTGTTCCTCTCTGCTCATCAATGCAACCACAATGTGTCACAGCGAAGCGTGGCAGTGTACTGCTAGGTAGAGCAGCCCCTTTAGTTCCGAGTCATGGCTTTCCCACGTAAAAAAATAATAAAGAGTAGTAGTTTTATGTATTTGTCATTTTGAATGGAAACTACTGTGGAATATCAATATTGTATGTTGCATCTACCTATATGTTTGTGACTGTTTATTTCATTATCCATATTCACTGATACTGACAGTGTGTATAATGTCACTTCACAAGTAAATGTCAGTTAGTACTGAATCACCATCTTGTTTTTGTGACATTCCAATAAATTATTTTAGAAATGTCATATCCATCATTTTATGAATATTTGATCGAACTGTCCGCTAATGCGTCATAGATTTGATCTTTGTAAACAAAAATATTTTCGTCTGGCTGTGACAATAATCAGTTAGTTCGTTTATATTGTTTTTGATATTTGATTGAGAACACAACAATACCAGAGTACATAAAATTTAATGTTAAAACTGCAGTAAGAAAATGTTTCAATGCCGTACCTTCATTTCAACATACAATTTTTAATATTTGTAGACATTGTGATATCGTTAATGTAGTATTTTTCTTTAAAATTAAATTTTTTTTTTTTGTTTTTATGCTGAGGTCTCGGGTTCGATTTCCGGATCGGATCAAAAGTATGTATAATCTCTAAAGATTTGTTTCGGCGTTTGGGTGTTTTCTATGTATAATACGTATGTTTTACAAAGGAAAGTATATAAATAAGTATTCTATCAGTCAATCTGGCTTTCATAGTACAAACACTGCTTAATTTGAGACTAGATGGCGTTCTAGTATTTGTAGGCCAAAACCTCCTCTCTGAGGAGAGGCCTATGTCCAGCAGTAGACTATTAAAGGCTATTGATGTGATGTGTGATGTATGAATTTGAATATTTCTTAATCGGTAGGTAGGACCCATAATATTTTGTGGCCGTGGTGATACCCTGTTTAAAAGGGTGCATGCCTATTGTTACTTTATTTTGTCTCCTGCTTTGCTAAGGAGGGAAGTGGATTCATTATATTTAAAACTCCACCAATTTTCTTCTGAATAATTTCGTTGCGGGTTCCAACACAGTTTATTTTTTTCCTGGGACTTCCCGAGTGTCATAACTTTGTGTGTTCGTGGGTCACTACTGTTGATCCTGGTGTACAACAGGTACAGTGGTGGGAGTGTGGGAGAGATTAGTACTCGTATAAGTAATAGGTATAAAAAGCCTTTTGTATTACTTTAGTTATGAATTAAGCAATCACGAATATTTGAGAGAGAAAAATCCGTATTTCGTCCGTACCATATAAAAACTATCTTGAACGCGTTAATTCCTGTAAATAAAATAAAATTATGTTACAGACAAAATATTTTACAAACACGTGTTTTAAAAATAATGTGTTTCTTAGGTGAACATAAAAATAACCTAAAAATGGAGCTCAGTAGAAGGTGAAACCTGAGGATTTCACCAGTAGCTACTGAAAATATGTTTCAGTAGCTACTGATGAAATCCTCAGGTTTAAGCTTAAATGATTTAGTGTCAGGAGTCCAATCGATTAGGCTTAGTAACGATTTTCTTAAGACAAAGACTCTAGATAGTGGAACTTATTTGTTACTTTTAATACAGTTCACCATTTATATATATTTTAGTCTTACTATATTATTGCGTATAATGAAAGAAGTTTAATTTCAAAATATATACGTTAGGCTAATTTTAAGTGCATATGCGATTCGCATAAAATTATGTGTTTGGTATACGATGGTAACAATGATCTATGATCACGTGTCGAAAAATCAGCCTCGAGGCGGTAAAACTTTAGCTTACGCCTCTAGTAGCTATATAGTATTTACGCTTTAGTTAAACTATTAATTTAATTATAAAATAGTTAGTTCGCTCAAGTGATTAATTCTCATTTCGTCTTTTTACTTTGTAAATGTCAAACTTTCGTACTACCGTTCATCCCTTATTTTACCTTCTTAGGGATGAAATTTCCATTTTTTTTCTTAGTGGATGCTTACATCATAAAAGTATTAGCTGTCAAAAGTTCAAATTTTTAGCCCCAGCGGTTTAGATACTACGTTGATAAATCAGTCAGAAAAGTAAGCAGTTGTTTTCCGTAATGATTTGCATTCATATATAAACACAATCATAAGTTACTTAAAAATAAAGTAAAATACAAAGGAATATAAGAATATTCAAATAATTACTATTATTATATACGATGAACTGTTCGAATTTGAGATGCTATTCAAATGAAATAAGAACGATCTGTGACTCCTGAGTTGCAGACGTTCATGGGCGGCGATGGTCACTTTCCATCAAGTGACCCGTCTGCTCGTCTGCCACTCTCTAAAATGAAAAATAAATAAAAAAGAAAAGTGACTTGTATAATGATTCTATATTATCACATGGGATTTAGATGTACCCCTATAAAAATTGATGCTATTGTGGTGACCTATGACTTATGATTATTATTTGATATATGAGCACAAAAGGTAACATAACATTTTGCAATACTATTGGTCCAGTTTTTAAAATAAATATATATATATATAAAATAACTTTTTTGTAAAAAATAAAAATAAAAAATAGTCTGCAACATAAAATGAGACAAATAACAGCGTTTTATAATCAACATTAGTATCAGCAATACTCTACCTTTTGTCATCAATAAAATATTCAAATACGTAAATACATTTCGAAATCAAATATTCTGAAACATATCAAAACAAAACGATATCATAAACAATTTCACTAGTAATTATATGAGTACAAATTGTGAACAATATATAATTCTGTAACTAAATTATTTAAAAGGATAATTTAGATTTCTCTGTCTGTATGTGTATCATACAGACAGAGAAATCGGTTCGATAATGCTACGTACGCATTATCGAACCCATTGAACGCTTAACATGCCATTTGTAGTTGTAAAACAACAATTTTCAGTACAATTTAGGGTCATTTGATATACAACGTTTTATGATACTTGGAATGTTTGTGTTAAAGCAATTACAAGAAATAAAAGTTCAATAATGAAACCTTCATAAAAGGACAGATATATTTGCTAAGCTTGGTAGTAGACGTACTCGACTTTATGTATTGGACTTGACTTCTTCTTTCTGTATGAAGGAATTCTTCTCTTGAGTTTATAAATGATTATACCGTTTACTCGTATAATACAGAGTACTCTGTGAAAATTAAACGCCTGTTGCAGTTTACTCTTTAATTTTAAAGTTCTAATATTTGTTACTATGATATAAAGAAAAGTATAACTTAGTCACATAAAAATAAATTCTATGTATAGTATAGTAAGTTTGAAAACTGTGCTATTCTTTTCGTTTATTTTTTTTGTGTAATTACGTGTTAATATTTAATTTATTATTTTAATTCATTGAACTTAACTTTTAGTTATAAAGCTCAATTATGAATGTAAGTAAATTTTTGTATGTACATTTACAAATTTTTTCGCAGTAAAATTACGTAAGGAAAAAAATATATAGTGTTTCCGACCACCTTCATGGCTTCAGCGAGAAGGCGTCGGGAAAGGTGGCTGCCTGTTACACAAAAGGATACTAAGGTTAGCTCTTGATATTAATTTCATAGGTTATAATTACACCCCACAGGAAACCCTAGAAGAAGGAGAGCCTCTCTCTCCTCTCCCCAGAAAATGCGTCTCTCGTCACAACATCGATCCGATATCATAACTAATGTTATGTAATTATATGAATGTCAGGTACTTGTCTGTTGTATAGTGCATTGTGCTATTTCATATAGAACAAAATCAATTTTTAATTTTTAAATGAGCAGTATCAAGACTCGATATTGAGATTTTTATACAAAGACGGGTAATTTTATGCAGAATAAAAGGGAAATGACAATCATTCATTCAAAACAATGAGCTTTAGTTTGGGTAGTAGAATGGGTAGTAGAATACCAAGGGTAATTAAAGGGTTGATCATGGTCGAATAGTGGTAACTGAAGTTTCTTTGGCCTGAAAAACCGACCTCTCTGACGAGATCTTAGCGCACTCCATTGATTCTCAAAAGTTTAATGAATCAAAATTGAACTCTTTCTGATATCAACATAAGGAATAAAATTGTTTGTGCCTTTGTTTTCTTACAGGATTTTATACCAACATTAGATAGTATCTTCAAAATAGCACGATTCTTTGGCATAACCAGTTATGGTTTCACTATTGCTTTCTCTTGGAGTTTCATTTTGTTTATAATGCTGGTTACTATGGAGGCTTGGGCTATATGGAAACTTGTACGAATTGTAACTGGACGGACTACCTACATGAAATTTAGTGGTAATATATCTATATATACATACTAGCTTTTCTGTATTTCGGTTATCGCGGTAAGCAGTAGTCTATATCCTTTCTCAAGAAATAAACTATCTCCATAACAAATGTCATCTAAATCGGTGCAATGGTTATTGATTCCTCATACAAACTTCCACCCCCCTTTTCACCCCTTTAAATAATGATTTCTGCGATAAAAACTATCCAATGTCCCTTCCCGGGACTCAAACTATCTCTGTACCAAAATTTATCATAATCGGTTCAGTGGTTTAAGCGTGAAAAGGTAAAAGATAGATTTACAGACAGATATACAAATAAATAAAATTGATGTGTCTGTTTGTAATGTAAAAATAATGAGTTTTTTCACGCACACACGGTTTTGCACGATACCTATGCCTAAAAAACAGTTTAACCAGTGTCTGTCTGCCTGTTTTTTCCGAGTAATCTCCTAAACAGCAGGACCGATTTTGATAATATTTTACTACCAGGTGGCTGTCTATATAAGGTATAACTTAGGCTATTTTGCCTCTCAGGTAAACTCTTTTTTTTTCCTAGCCCAGGAATCGAACCCACTAAGGCAGCACTTTTTAAATTCGCGTGTACCAGCTAGTAATAAATATAACTATTAGTACAGTATGGATACTTACTAAAACTCTATATATTAAAGAATGATCCAATCAATACTGTTAACTGAAAGCTGAGTCATAACCAGAACCTCACTTTTTATGCAAGTTTCGCTACGAAAACAACATTATAATAAAATAAGCCCTGATTCTTCAATGTAGCAAAACTGAAAAACTAGGTTTAAATAACAATAAAAATAATGCTCGGTCGGTCAACAGAATATTTGTGCAATTATATTTTTTTGTATTTTATTCAAATCTATTTTCAGGTAGCATGGTATCAACTCGTCTGTCAGGTTCTATTTTTTATGGGAATGCATTAATGTCACTACTATTGTCATCCAAATTTGTCCACGCTTGGCAGAGTCTATCGTTATCTTGGTTGCATACAGAAAATCCAAGTGGCTTGACTTTGCCTTCGGATGTTGCAGTTAAAAGAAGAGTTATTTTTGTTACAAGTTTAGTAGCTTCTGGCGCATTTAGTAAGTTGTCGTTTATGCTAAATACTATTCAACCCACTACATTCTTTAAATAACATCCTGTTAATTAGTAATACGTAGCGGGCTCTGGTGTATACAAATATATTGTGCATTTCTGATTTAATCAGGCGATTATTCAGTAAGTGTTTGTCTTTAAAGTTATTCAAAGAGAGATTCCTGCGGACAATTAGAAAAAAAAACATCCTTCAGCTTATAGACATGATTTTCATAAATCCATAGTTCAACATTTAATATATTTCTTAATTAAGAAATTTATTATTCACATTTTTTTGACGTCTTATAAATCGATTAACACCGGCTGCACGGACGAAAAAGCATGACTCATTGTCTCGTTTCGCCTGAGCCGAGCGTGCAAGCAAGAGCGCGGTACAAGTGTAGAGGGGCACGATAATAATTCAATTCAATTAATAAAAGTATGCAATTTTTCATCAATGTTTTCTTATGACATTATCACGTAAAATTATCTTTCGTAAACCGACTTTACAGACAACCAATTTTTTCTAAGCTTTAAGCTACCTTCTATTTATTCTTTATAAGAGTTGAAACTAAACTGACTTCATATCTTTTTAGTCGAGCACATGCTAAGCATGATGTCAGCAACAGATTTTAACATACCACCTGGAGAATATTTTAAAAGATATGTTTTGAGATCTCATTCATTTGTGTTAAGACCTAGTAAGTCATTTTATAAATTTGTCTTCTATTGCTGGATCTTCTTGTACTCTTCACACACTTAAGGTATTTTCTCTTTTTCTCTTCTCTTTCTCTCTTTTCAGTTTTTTCTCTTGCTGTTGTGTATTTTGTTATTGTTGTTAAGAGTATTATTTTGTGACGTTTAATAAACTAGAAACTGTTTCAGGTGACTACAATTTATGGATTGGAATACCTATATTTTTACTGGGCAAGCTTGCTACTGCATTATGGAACTTCCAGGATTTGATTATAATTCTCATTAGCATGGGACTTACTTCTTGCTACCACAAATTGAATCTGTGTGTTTACGAAGCTGTTAAAACAGAAAAAAAATACCGATATACCAAAAAGGTTTATTTTCAGTGATTTTGATTCCATTATAACTCTAACCTATCAAGTTAAGTCTGTTTGAAAGAACATTTTGTTAATTAGTTTGTAAGAAGAATATTCTGGAAGTAGAATTTCTAGTTCATTTATATTAATTTCTACTAATATAGTTTTGATGTTATTTATACTTTTCATATGTTGCAGTTTGGAACAGATTTCGGCCCAAGGATACAAACATGGCGTCGTCTCCGAGAAGCCTTTGTACGTCAAGCAAGATTGGTACGCATGGTCGACTCTAAACTGGGACCCTTGGTGTTATTGTCAAATATCAACAACTTTTATTTTATTTGTATCCAACTTCTCCTCGGGAGTCAGTAAGAAACAAGAATAATTACTAGCTTTTTAATTTACTTGTACTATTTATCGTATCATACTTTGGTTATTATTAGCCACATTTAATTTTCTCTGGACGAGACGTTTGATTTTTTTTTTAATGCAACACTATGTTTATCTTAGTTACGTATAACTTATTTACATGTGCTTTACTTATCGTGTCGATGGCAACACTTTACACGATTTTGGCCTATTGCTCGGCAACCCAAATGGCGTTTGGCCTTGCTTGATACAAGTCGTCAAGCGTACACGAATCTGGGCTCGCGAGGCATGTTAACAAGGCGTTGCCTGTGGAGATGCGCCACAGTCGCATTAGTTTACGCTTGGGTGGATAAAGCCCCACCTTGACAGATGGTCCTTAGATCTGCCAACCTGCCTGGTACGCAGCCTATTAAGCGTCTTCCAGGTTGACCAGCAGAGTTTATCTCCTGGAGGTAGTTTTTCAACCGAGGGGATGAAATTGGGGAAAGAGAACTTATTACGCCATATGTTTTTTCTGGCCTTGGGAGCGTCGTTTTTGTCTGCAGGAATTATGTTAAAGAAACTGTTTCGACTTTACAACCTTTTTGTAGTTTGGTTTTGGACATGCAATGGGTGTCTAGAATCAGTTTCCTGTCTCCATTTTTCTATGGCGGAGGCTACTTCAGACATCCAGTTATTTTCCGGCACGTTTCTTTCAGAGCTATATTCACTTTTTTGGCGTGGGTCGATCGCTGCTACACCGGGCACGCGTATTCACCCGCAGAGAAACACAATGCCAACCCTGTGGCACGCAGAATTGAAAGCGCAGCTGTCTCAACCCTTTGTTTGATGTTTTTACAGTTGACTTTGAACGTCAACTATCGGTCCAGGGTGATGCCCAAGTACTTTGGGTGGCTGCAGTGAGCAATGGGAGTGCCTGGCCAAGAGATATTGAGGGCACGATTCGCAGATCTATGGCGCAGGATTGTGTTTTTCTGCATTGGGTTTCAGACTTCTTTTGTCATAATAAGTGCCCAGACTGGAGAAAGCGGCTGACAGATTTGTCTCTGCCTGCTTATAGGTTTTGGTTCGAGTTGCGAGCGCCAAGTCGTCTGCGTAAACGAATCGGGCTGTGTCCGGAAACATTGGTTGGTCGTTAATGAAGAGGGTGGGAGCCAGAGCACTTCCCTGCGGTAGTCCATTTTTTCGGCAGCGCCACCTGCTTTTATCGGAAAGCATATGGACTTGGAAGTTTCGATTACGCAGAAGTTCGCGAAGGAGACGGACAAATTTGCTATAGTGACCAGTGACCAGTGCTATTTCCCGCCTTCCAGAGTAGTCTCTGTATGTTTACGGTGTAGTATGCTGCCGACAGATCAACAAAGACGACTCCTGAAACTTCTCCAGCCTCAAAACCGTCCGCTATGTATTGAGTCAAGTTGGCTGCAACATGATTCCCTGGTCTAAAGCCAGCCAGCTCGGGAATCAATTTCGGTCTATGATTTCACTCAGGCGGATTTCACTCCTGTGGCACACAATGTGTGACACAGGAGTGTAATAGAAAAATAATAATAATATGTCCTAGATAATGTCAAAATAATTTTCAGTCTGGATAGAGGAAAAGGGTGTGCGAGCTAAAGCAGATTGGGAAATCAAACTAAACCTGCAGTAGTTATCCTTGGGAGGGCCATTAGGATAGGGACATCTGCATATATTGCTTAAAAAGTAAAGTTGTTAGTTTTTGTACTCACTATTGCTACAGTTATACATACATCCACATTTGTGGTTACTCCGTTATTAAAAGCATTTGAAAAGCTCCTCTGACGACAAACAGAGGCATTTATCCGAAATAATTTGGTTTTATGCAAAATATCAGTCGGTAGATCATCGTTATCGGTAGATATTGTTATTTAAGCTTGCATTCTACTGTTGTTTAGAGATTTGCTTAAAACAACAACGGTAAAACGCAAATAATAACAAATAATTAATTGTTTTTTTGTTTTTTTACAGTAGAGGCAATGGTAGTACCATAAGTCATGCTTACCATCTCCTGTCATTGAGCTGGTTGATAGTTAGAGCATGCAGTGTGGTATTAGCGGCTGCAGACGTACATATTCATTCAAAAAGAGCTTTGAATTTTTTAAGCTCTTGTCCGAGTTCTGCTTACAATATAGAGGTGCGTATATCATTTTCTACTTTAAAATATTCAATGCTGATAAAATTAAATGAAATGAGATTCTGTTTATGTTTACTTTGGAGTAGTAAAAACTTTTACTCGTGATATTTTCGATCACCTTTACATATTTATAAGTTTATTTGAAAGTCTAAGTAGAATGTCAAGCACTTTCTAACTCTCCGTGAAGTTTGCTTGGTGGTTAATCGTTTTTACACCAAAATCAAATACATTTCTACTACTAAAACTTACGTTAACAACTTTAAGAAGGACCTTGCCAATATAAGCTAATTATAAGCTAAATGTGGAATGAGAAGTGTCACGAAGAAGGGAAATGTAAATATACATAATGTGATGTGGTATATATATATATCCAGCTGCAAACGATTCAATAACGACATCTCTCCTAGTCTTTGCGCGCTATTCTCCTGTTCTTTTTGACAGCCAGACATTAGAATTACATTACATTTGGTTTTATTTTCAGATCAAAAGGTTGCAATATCAACTTACTCACGACTTTGTGGCTTTGTCAGGGATGGGTTTCTTTTCACTCAGACGGGGATTATTATTGGAAGTAAGTATCACAAGCGGGAGGTATTATCTTAATTTTTGTATTATCAGAAGAAATAGTTATCATCGTTACGGAAACATTTTAAGCATGTAATGCGATATTTGTTTAAAAAAAAATATTGATAAAACCAGCTTTAATTAATGTACATATTAATTTAATTTATGCCGTGAAAGTTATTGAAAAAACACATTCGAAAGGTATTTTCTTCATTCAAATATATAGGAAAATGCACAGTATTTCTTAAATTATGTCAATCAGATTCATTTCATTTATTTAGTCAATCAGTAGTTTAAGATAATATGAACCGGTTTTCGGAACTATAAATGTATTCTTAGGCGTAGAGTACAATATTGTAATTTTGTCATAATTCATTTCTTTTAGGTGGTTGCAGCGATAATAAAATATGAGTTAGTATTGATACAATATGATACTTGAAGTAAAAAATGAGAGATTTGTAAAACCTTTATTTGAATAAAGTATAATACAATATAGTAGATTTCGTGTTTTTATGATCTAGTAAGGTATATTTTGGATTATTCTCCTTGAATATTTTTATTCATCTCAAGGATATTTCAGGTCAACTGACATTCTAACATAAAATACAACATATTTAAGTGACATGTATTAAAGCGAAGCTACGTAATGATTGATGAACTTTCATCTTCAATCGCACAAAAAAGTTCTCACCTGAAACTCCTCCTCTGGTATGAGGATACCAGAGGAGGAGTTTCAGGTGAGAACTGTGGGATTGAGGAATCCAGAGTATCATTATCTATGTATGTTCTGGAACTTAGCGTATATGAAAGTTTGCCATCTGTTTCCGTGTTGGGCTATCAGTAGATAACTCTTATCCGTGATGGGCCGAACGAACTTCCGATTTTGGATCTTTTCTCTTCGACCATTTCTATAACCAATAATCTTTCGATGACGTTATCTTCTTTTCTTGTCACTGAATCATTCCAGGATTCTGCGAAGAGATAGGGCTAACCCAATTATGTAAAGGTAAATGCGCTGCCCAAGATATTCGCAGCATCTTCGTCGTTCCTTGGTGATCAACATAATTCAGCGTCCGTACCTACGAGTATACCTATTTTGTGCAAGAGAATAAGGAATACTAAGGTTTATACTAGTATGTTTTTTTTTTCATTCTTCTTGTAATCTTTTGTCCTTGTCTAAGTCAGACGATCTACTTTTTGTCATATCTGTCTCATATGATCTGTCCGATCCGGCTGAAGCTGGTCGAGATTTCATCCGAAACCGACGAAATCTTTGACCCGGTAGGCATAATTGCAAGCAAGGCATTTTTCACCAAGTTACATGGTGTTTGACCTGTCATCAAAGTCAGTCATCATTGTCAAATATCAGAATGGCCGAATGGATTGGGATTTAATTTGGCACAGGGATGGATAAGATTGGAATAGCACATTAGCTACTATAAGCAAGGAAAACTTAATTAACAAAATCGATATTAAGTCGAGGTTTTAAATCGATTTGGATGATAGCTTAGTAGCTATTATAGCATTTTTTTTTTTACTTATGAAGTTTGTGTGTTGTGAAAAGTTAAGAAGTAATAGGTTATCTTGGTATGGACATGTCATGCGGAGGGATGAGGAAAATGTGGCGAAGAAAGTTTTAGGTATGGGAGTTGAAGGGTATAAGAGAAGAGGCAGACCGAAGAAAAGGTGGATGGACTGCGTGAGGGAGGATATGGCTAGGAAGTGAGTAAACAGTGAGATGCCGCATGACAGAGTAGAATGGAAAAATCATACATACTGCGCCGACCCCAAATAAAATTGGGAAAAGGGTAGGCAGATGATGAAGTTGGTGTGTTCAGAAAAAGAGACTGTAAATGAGGTATGTTTGAGATGTTCTCAGGTTAAAACTTGAAGCTCGTGTATCGGCTGTAAATACCTCAAAATTTTGAGTATCTGTAATTGAGGGTGTCACTGACAAAATTAAGAAATTATGCTTCGTAAATTGAACTTTCTAAATATTTTATCCACAGGTTCAAATTAAATATGTATTATATATCACATGCGAAGGTAGCAATGTACCTATTTATTTCTCCAAATGCCCTAATGGTAAATGAAAATTCTAGTTATATTTCAACAACTTTACAGGAGATCGAAAACCTTTTGATTGGCTTCGAGAAATAGATGATACGGCTGTGCAAACTTATGTGCACAAATTTATTTTCATCATTTCGGGTAACCTACTTTTTCTTTCGAAAATTTTATAATGAATTATCAATAATAACAGTGTTGGAATATCTTTCAGGCAAAATATCACTTTAAATCAATAAAAAAAAATATAGCTGCAAGGTGATTAATTAAAATTCATGATACTGGTAAAAATAACAGTGTTTACAAATGAATTGATGCTATTCCAAATAATAATAAATCAAAGATTAGCATCTATATGAAACATTTTTGATCTTCAATCTAAACAAAACTGATAAAAGCAACGAATACCAGGTAAACAAATTGAGGGAACAACAACATTGAAATCAATACCGATGCTTACATTATTTTTTTTCAAACCAACTTCTCAGAATAAATGTTTATTGTTGTAAATTGTGTTTTTCCTAAGTACTGACTTAGGAAAAAACACCCTTTTAATTATTGGACACTTTTAATTATTCACGTTAATATAAAGTTTAAACCTCCTTTCTAAGGAGAGGCCTATGTCCAGCAGTGGCAGTGGCAGTACAGCACCATTGACTTAAATGAATTTATTTTAAGAACATGTGAGCAAATCGCCACTATATTTTTCTAGAAGTGTCGATGCGCACACTAATTAATTCAGTTTGAGCGAATCGATCACTAAGCCGAGATTATTCTTATTATTTGTATACCTATTTTAGAGAACCCTTACAGTAGTCGCATCATAATATGAAGATGAAGACACTATTCGAGTACGCTACATATTTTCAAAAATAAAAGGCTAATAAGATATAGTTACCTATTTCATTTTTATCGTTAGACCCTCTCGTTTTCTACAAATTACATGTAATTTACCAACTGCGATTTGGGAATACGGAGAAAATATAGTAGGCAGAGGATTCTTTATTGTATCCTAACCCCGTCTTATTTTATTAAAATTATGAATAAAAGTAACCATTTTCAGAAAGAAAACAAATTAGGAAGCAACATAAATATGTACTTAAAAATGAAAAAAGTTAAAAAGAAACAAATAATCACACAGAAACTTTTTATTTCAAAATCTGATTTCGATAAATCAATCAGCGGGATTCTTTTTTCAAATAAACTTACGTAAAAAATTATATTTATGTTTTTATGAATGCTCTGAAGTTATCCTTAAAATAAACATTAAGTAACAGTTTTTTTTCTGTTATTTTGAAGTTTTGTAATATTGTGATTTTGGAACTTTGTAATGGTGTAATTTTTATGGTATTGTTATTTTGTCTATGGGTTTATACTGAAAATAAATGATTATTATTATTATTAATCCCAATTGTCAACTACTGAAGTTGTATTATTGACTGAATCATCTTCTAAATATGTCTTACTGAACTGCAATAGCACCAGTTCGTAAGTTATTATTGTGCTTATTGCCTGAAACAATATAATATTAAATATTAATACACAAATACCAATACCAATATAAACGAATTTTAGAAAATTACTGATTTTTAGTTTGCTAATCCCATTTTGAAACTGATGAATTAAACAAAAAAAATGTTTGCATAAAAAATAATATTATATCAATAATTAACTGTTAATATTAACCGCCGCTCACTACTACCCTCAGTGTTGTGGGACACATGGGACGACACTTTGTGTGATCTACAAATTATTGTTCTGAGTCTGGGTGTTCTTTGTGTTCGTGCCATGTATGTTTGTAAAGACTCATAATTTATTGTTAAGGAAAAAACATTTATTTGTCCTAATCACTTCTTTCAAGCACTTTTATTTCTTCTACAATATGACTACATCAACAATAATACCATATTAATTATGAATATAAAAATAACTTCACTCACTTGTAAAATCGTATTTCGAGTGACGTAGAATAACTTTCCACTAAACGCTACTGTTGTAAAACGAAGTATTAATTGGAATCTTTCAACCTGAAAAAATATACGAATACATAGTAATTAAACAGTTGACTGTCAAATGAGATAAAAAAATATAATAAAATACCTCCTGATCATATTCTTCGGGCTGTACGCTGTACACTGGTATTACTGGCTTTTGCGCAATGTTGTGTACGTTTGCAGCAAACAAGGACAGCGATATAAATCTCAGCATCAAGAACAAGAAAGTGCTGTAGTAGGCGATGATGTATTCTGGACTGGCTAGCATGCTACATGCAAACAAAATCTAAAATTAGTTTCAAACAATACCAACATTTGCGAAAAATCTTCTCGTGTTAATTTAAAAAAAAAAAATGTCCGTATTCTTTTTGTGGATGAAAGGTATTTTAATAACTTTTTAGTACCGTTGACAACAGATATACCAAATTTTATTGTGATCGGTTGAGTAGTTTAGATATTAAAATTAAACAAGATAACAAATTCACAATTAAATTTTTTTTTTTTTTAATTTCTGATATTGCCCCGTTGTATCATAACACAGTCTGTTTTATCATTCATATTTAAATAATATTACATGGAAGAAAAATTTTGATATTCACACAAACAAGCACAACAAAAACAAACTTACTATTTTTTTTAATAAAAGTGAAATCAAATTCTGTCCTAAAAAGTTAACTAACTTTCCCCTAGTCAAGTGATACTTCGTTGTTACTACGTCATACTAATTCTAATTACCCGTATCGTAAAATGTTCTCACTTTGGTTTAAGAATGCTTCTGTAGTAGGGAAGTAAAATATGAACATTTTACTCAAACCTAATGCTGTTAAGCATCACGCATAATTTAAGATCATACGAGAAAAACAAGACAAGGGTGCAAACTCTTACATTTGTGAATAATGTTAACAAAAGATTCAGCTCTGTTGCTTATATTGATATAGTTTATTTAATGTTTTTCATAATAAAAGTACATAATCCACTCACCTATTACTTTTTACTGCATCACAATTCTTGAACTTGAAATTTGCAATAGATTTGCTATAAAAAAAATAATTGAGTATTTAATATTTAACCCTAAATTTTAAAACACCTTTTTTTTCAAACAATGATATGCGACCTCTATCAAATGTGCCTTTATCATCAATTGCAAGAAAGAGTTGCCACTTTCAAATTTTATTGATATTACTTTTATTTTATTTTATTACTCAAAAAGATTACCAAAATATCATAATATTAATTATAAATGAAAAAAATGTATATATTTACTGCAATATAGTGAACAGCTGGAGACAGATGAAATATATGTCACCGAAGAATGACAAAAGAGTAAAGCTGCTCAGTTGGGCATCTATTTCCTTCACCAGTAGCGCTAATTTTGAATAGTGTTCTCGTAGTTGGCCCCACGATATTGGACTCTAAAACCAAATAATAAGCAGATTTGCATCAACTTGAAAAATATAATATTTAAGGTACAGTTAAAGAATCGTCGACTTAACTGTAAAATATCTACGTTATGTTTTTAATTTTTAACACTGAAAACTGCCGTGACTTTTGAAATAAATTAGCTATACTATTATTTAATAATTATTTTTCTACTAAGACAATCAATAATTCAGGATGATACGCTTTATTAATGTTTCTGCATTTGGATTTGTCCATAGAAAATAATTTTACATTTACTAATAAACTGAAGAACGCCTTACTCCATGCAACACAGTCTAGTGACCGTGTTGCATGGAGTAGTGTTCTAGTAACTGTTATGCAACAGTCAACATAATAGTTGCAGATACCAAGACAAACATATTAATTTTTAAGAATAAACATACCATATTTGTTGTACTTACATTGTTCTTCCTAGAATATATAATTTTATTCAGGTTGTAAAAATATGAGGTTATATAAATGCTACAGCAAATCGTTAAAATATCGACGTAGCAGGTCAAGATGGTAGTTTGCAAATGAAATATCTAAAAGATAAATCAAATAAATAAATTAATAAAAGTTTCCAATAATACTCTATAATAATTTTGATTAAGCTGAACCTTTACTGTATGCTTAATAAATTACACTCAACATAACTTTGGGATTATTATTAGAGAGTGCGGACTCTCGCCAACAGTTATAGATATTCACAAGCTTGCATACCTTTTACTATGGTATAAGTGTGGTTTTTTTGAACTTCTATCAGAAAAATAAACGTTACAAAATATAAACATTGGTTTGGAATAAACGTTACACAAAATTTAGAGTATTTCAATAAGCCATAAATTTACTTTTAAATTTATGGCATATTGAAATACTCTAAATTTTGTAGTTTTGCGTTATATTTATAGCCACTCCCAGATCTTTCTAGGATTAAAATTGAACAGACAAACGATTTGCGAAATAAGATGTAAATGGCAATTAGCTCATCTTTAGACCATATCTTTACATAGTATAAAATGAAGCCGCTTGTTTTCTTGTACACTTAGTGCTTCTATGTATAATAAGTATATATTTACAGTAAACCCTGTATATATGTATTCTATCAGTCCATGTAGTTTTCATAGCACAAGCTCAGATGGTGTTATGTATCAGATGTCCGAAACATTAGGTCCTAAAATAATTTACAATTCTTTATCCAAATAAATACGTTGTGCATTTAATTTTTAATATTAATAGTTCATGCACAAGTATGGGTTAATGCCACAGGATTTTTCTCGAAGTCTACCTTAGGGTGGTGCTGAAATGTGTGACGAGGGGCACTAGGCATTGATATGTAAAGTAAGAGAAAACTATTGAGAAGTTAGACCGAAACAATGAGATAAATATACATACATACATATGTACCAAATACATACACATACATAAATACTTATCAAATTACATACACACATAAACCTATATATTGATAATATTTAAACTTTAAGGTTGTATTCTATCTGCTAGGGCGTCTATGGCATGTCAAACCACCTGCGAAGGCGTGTTTAATGTAGATCAAAACATGTTAGTTGAGAATCTGGCGAGTTGAGAGCCGAGTGAGTTGCGAATCTGGTTAATTGAGAATCTGGTAAACTGTTTATGTTTGATATTAAACCATACAGTATTATGCCTTATCGATACGGTATGAATTTTATATAGATCAAAATTGATCTTTACAGCATATCATTGAAATGAATATCTTAGCAGATACCAGAGATTGAAAATGTATATTTTTATTATATGTGTATTTGTACGTCCGTCCCGGGTGGCAGGGGATGGCACGAGCGACGCATGCGCATAAATATTGTATATAATACTATAATTAACTACTCTACACTGACACCACATTAGTATCTACATTGCATCCGCAGGGGCGTGCGCTCCTTGTAGGCAGAAATGCAGTGCTTTACTTGCTATTCACAGACATTTTAATAAAACGTTCGTACGTTTTAGATGACTTTAATTAATAGTAAATAAATGAAAAAACAAAATATAATAACTTAAAAACGCATACTATTTAAAAATAACACCACACAAACATTATGTTTGCCAGGCGTTTACCGAAAAGCAAGCGGCGCTGCACCTAACCAACCAACTCATGCCGTCGCGTCCCGCAGGACATTTGTTCGCATGTGTGTAGTAATTTTGGTGTCCGTGCACAGTTCGCAAACGCACACACCCATTTATTTTATTACCCCGCCTCCAGCCGCAGGCTACCGAAGTTAGTTCGGGAGTAATCGGAAGTGTTCGTTTAAATAGCAGATATGTTTCGTGTGTTTCGAGGCCATTTTTTTTTTCATTGTTTACTAATTTGTTTGCGCCATTATAATTATAGTTTTATTTTTCATATTAACATTTGAAAGTGTGTACATTTAACAGTTAATTACTGAGTTCCGTTGATTTTTAAAAAATGTTATTTGATTGTAAGGTACGTGTGGAAAATGTGTGTAACCGGAACCTTGAATATGTAAAAATCAGAAAATTGAAGATGATCAGGTGAGTAGTTATAATATTTTAGCTTATTATTTTACTTATTAGAATTTCTTCCGCCGCGACGATCTATCGCTGTTTTGTCTGCGTTCCCGTTGAAGATGTACATGAATAGTAGTAAGTACATCTAAGACTTGTTCTGTTGGCATGGTTTCCGACTTAGAGATCAGTCGCGTGGCTGTGGCTATGCTAAAAATTTATAAAAGAAAAAGTTTTTGTGACCGACTACTCCGCATACCTAGTGTCATAATCCTGCACGCCGCTGTGCATCCGTATTCGATAAATCATACTACTGTTACACTTACTAAAACTTAGTTTTCGAAATTCATTTAAAAGTTTATGCTCACCATAGCTGAAATTGCTTTTAATTCACTGTAAGGTACATGGTTAAAAATGAAAAACATTCTGATTTTCACGTATGATTCAAAGATCTCATTGCTTAAGTAAGTTGAAGTAGTATTAGAAACACATTCAATAGTTAACTTTACAATGAAGATGGTCGAGAGACTGTGTGTCACTGCAACAAAGTAAAACAGAATTATTTGGGGTTGATGCTGCTGGACGAGGAATTTAATTAAAACTTGCCCGTATACTTCTGTGGATAGACAAAACTAAATAAATCATTTTAACACTCATTGTTTATTTTTTAATAATTAAGTATTTTCGAGCTTGTATCTTAAGTTTTTTAATTTAATTAAATAATCATGAAAAATTATAGTTGTAAGGTTAATTCACATCTATTAATATTTTATCTCTTAACACACAAACGAGATATGTTCTTAACAATAACGTATTGTTAACTGCGTACCCAAACTCGTTAGTATCATCACAATTGCAATTATGTTTGATTTTTTAATGGTGTGGCCATCCAGCTTCAATAGAGTCAGACTCTGTTCAGTTTCTTCAGCTAGTTTCATTAATTTTGGCCAGCACTTAGCCAATCTTACTAATGATATTGCCGCAGTGAAATTTACGACATAAAATAGGACGTAAGCTGTAAGAAATAAAAACAAGATAAATCCTTTTAAAAAAAAGTTGAAATGACTCCAAACAATACTAACAAAGAGCACTAAAAATTAAACTACCTTTCAGTCGCGAACAAATATGCAGCTACTACTAACTTTGATAGAAAATGTGGGTGGATCCTGATATACTGAAAACATATATGGGGTCTACCAATAAGAACGTCCTGGTTTAAAAATTGAATAAAACACACAATTTTTGATGAAAAATGCATCCAATTGATTTATTTGATAGATAATTTTATGCAATTTATGTTTTAAATAATATATCGGCCAAATGACCGCCGCGGCTCTTTTTGCAGACGGTCACCCGCTCACGCCAATTTTCGATGACGCGGTGCACCATTTCGGCTGGTATGTCGGCTATGGCTCGTCGAATGTTGGTTTTTAGGTCACAAATTGTAGCTGGATTATTGCTGTACACTTTAGATTTAACTTAACCCCAAAGAAAATAGTCTAAAGGTGTTAAATCACACGTTTTTGGTGGCCAACTGATCGGTCTATTTCTCGTAATTAACGACTCATCAAACTTTCCACGCAATAATTCCATGTTCACTCGAGTAATGTGAGGTGGTGCACCGTCTTGTTGAAAATAAAGGTCGTCTGCATCAATACTTTCATCACTTCAAAGAAGTTTTGGAGTGAAACGTGACATGATAAAATGGCAAACCTTACTGAACACAAATGTCAAGAGACGTCAAAGATCCATCATCAAACATGGCCGCTATGAGCTGTCAAAACCAGGTCATCCCTATTGGTAGACCCTATACGTAACCCTTTCGAGTGTGAGAACGTGATGTTAGGTTATGTGGTTTGCGTAAACAATGCATATTTATGCGATGGTAGCAACCACGGTAGATTTGCTATCATTTTTCGAACAAAAAAAGAATTTTGCAAATTCTTCTATATATGACAACACATAAAAAAATAAAAACCGAATTGAAAATAAAATATACCTGAACATACATTAAAAAAAAATATCCGAATTGAAAACCTCCTCCTATCGATTAAAAATGGTTTTATTCAAGATAAATACCTAGTTTTATTAAATAAAAATACCTGTATTTCTGGTAAATAAAGGATCGTTATTAAAAAAATACCAAACTCTTTGAATTTTTATTTAGAGTAGAAAAACTGAGAAATGCCTAAAAGAGAATTAACGGGTTCAAAACGACAAAATTACGGAGTCACCGAGCGTTAAAACTAAGAATAATGTGGGGCTTTTACTTACGTACACTGATCATTAGAATTTTGTAAGATTATACTTACAGACTGACGACAATGAGACTTCACTATTAAAAAAATTGTGGAAAGTAAAGTAAAGCAGTACCGATTGCCCCATAAGAGTCAATATATTGTAGATACCGTAAAAACATTGGACTTTAAATCTGGAAATATAAAGGTTATTATCATTCATGATTTTTAGTTTTAATTTTACGTTTATACTAAAAATGTGAACAGATATTTTACATTGGAGAGTACCAATATCTGAGATATTTTACTTTCTGTTTTTTTTTTTAACAAGAGTAAGTGCATCAATAGCAGTGATCCAAGAATACACCAAGTTATGACACTTCTTGAAGTTCCCAACGATGTTAATCAGAAGAAAACTGAAGGAGTTGGAAATATATCAAACCCACTGCCCTCCTTAATGAAGCGGGAGTCAAAATCAAAGTAAAAATAGACATAGATACCCCCAAATAAACAGGGAAGTTATATTTGATTTTTATAACATTTATGGCAGAATCGCCCAAATGCATGGAAATTCACCGCCCTAAATGTCAACTGTAAGCTATTCAGCATTATATTACGTCCATTGTACCAAAGACTACATTCCTAGAGGACATGATAAGCAGATTTTTAGATAGGCAAAGACAGTTAGACAGTTGACGATTGACACAATGGTGACTCGACTAATTTAAATGAATGCAGTTTGCTCTTAAAGTTACCATGACCTGTAAGAAATTGAGCCATACATCGGTGCATGTTCTTGACAATCGCTCGCAAACTGATACAAATACTTTTGCCGTGTGGTGACGGATTAAAAATACAAATTGTCACCATCCCTATTTATCCCGTAGGTGTCGTACTGCAAAAAGAGAAGCGAAACTTGAAACAAATCCTATACCAACCCGTCTGGCTAGCGCGGTATAGTGGTCAAAACTTTACCGTGTGAGAGCCATGCTTCGGCATAAATTGGATACTGGTACGATATCACGGTTTCACAGAAAACCGGTAAGCAATTCCCTATTGTATTTCACCGAGTAAATAAGTTTTTCGGGGCGGTTGCGGCGATGTAAATACCAGCACGCTAAGAAAGCAATATAACTTTGCCTCCAGGTCCCTCAAGATAAGCCGGGTCGGTAAGAGACTAGTGAAACTTCCTTCTGGAACTCGTGCATTCTGGTCTCTTACCAAGGCCGTACTGGTCACGTTATGAGAATACCAGACGAGCACGTGGTTCAAAAACGTCTTTCCAACGTTACAAAAAAGAGGGCAGGAGGAAGGCTTCAAACAACTTGGATGACAAAATAATGTCCAAATAGACAAGAAGATGTTGAGACTCCTCGAATGAGACGTTCCAGAAAGAAGTAAATAAGGTCACGTGATTCCAAAAGCCGACCCAGCGTAATTGGATAAGGCGAGGCAGAAGAAAAACTAGATCGAGACCTTTTATTGCGCGCCGTAGAACTATTACGTAACTATTACGTAGTGCGTGATGTCGTACATGCTTGGTAAATAAATTATTGTCTAAGCTAAAAGTTAGAGACTTGTTCACTTGTACAAAATGTGCATCGAATTTAGTGAATAAATAATAAACATAAATGAAATATAGTAGGTACTTACTTAGTTCCATCAGCAGTGAGCTGGTTAAGACCTTGTACAGGAAAAAAACCAGTCCAACGGGCAAACCTCATCGAATGACGCAAGCAAGCATGGAGGTTGCATGACTTCCTTGCCTGGGTATCATTGACTCTCATCCTTTAAGTGCAACGGCAACCGTACTATTGTATATAACTCATGGCCCAGGCACTGATAAATAACAACAGTTGTTTTGTTCTATTAGATATCAAAAAAGTAAATGTATTTCAGCATCATAAAATAACTATGTATTTAAAAATTAAATTATATTCAATTCCTGAACGTACCTTATCGCAACTGAAATCTATAATACTATGTTCAAGCTCCTTAAAAAAAAATTACTTTATAATTCACATGATAAATGTATTTTGTTATTTTAGCTAACGTTGTCTAAATGTTGTACTTCGGTGGACGTAAAACGATATTTGACGTTAAACTGACAAGGTGTGACAATTGTTAGGACTACTGACAGGTAGAATAAAAATTTGTGTTGATAGTATTATTTTTATCGTGAGTCACATAAATAAATAAAAATTGTAGGTTGCTGCACTTTATTGTGTTTCTCCATAATGTACGAGTAGAACAGTAATGTAGGTAAATGCGTTGTCACTGGCGCGGAGGTTTGGGGCGCATGAGCTATACAAACGGCCGTTCATTTTAAAGTCTTAGAGAATATTAGTGCAGTACACTCATACATGCCAGGCTTACTAAAATGTTTTGAACAGTTCAAAATTTACACAAACACTGACAGCATTTAAGAATATGGTCACCTAGGTTCTTGAGTACCTACTCTTTGCTTTCAATAACTGTATAGATAGTTCAACTCAGTTGTGGGCCCTATGTGTGCGTGGGCTTGTAAATATACAACTTTCATTCGTGTGGCAGTGACGCGGCAGTCGGACGACGACTGCCACACGAATGAAAGTTGTATATTTACAAGCCCACGCACACAGGGCCCGCGCGCACAACTGAGTTGAACTAATAGATAGTTCAATTCAGTTGTGCGCGCCTACATGACTAAATGATTTCATGATTATCAATATATATTGTATACATTATTTATGTATGTCTATGTATGTGTGTAGGTATAGTTATATATAATGTATATATTTATTTATACACTACTGTAGCTTCATCAAACCTAGACTACCCATTGTTCTCATCTACTCGATCGATTTGTCCATCCAAAGGTTGCCTGTAAGAGATTGCTTTTAGCGATAAGGCGGCCCATTGTAGATATCCGTCTGCAATATCTATCTTATATATTGTAATTGGTGTACAATAAAGAATATTATATTTTATTGCAGCGTGGGTAGCTAATACAAGATAATCTTATTCAGATTATCTTGTTAATCATATTCAGATTCATACAAAAAATGTAAATACTACATTATTATGTTTATGTCTTCTAGCGAATAATGAGCGAAATTTTCTCTACTTGTGTCACTAAATTTAAGAAACAACAAACAAGTTACATACATACCATCATAGTCATTTATACCTACGTCTACTTTTGTATTATGCTACTAAGTTCATAGCTATTTACTTTATTCTAGCAGTGAAAACTTTGATTGGCCTTCACCTATTAGTTCTATATTAATTGTAACTCTAGCTGTAAGATTTCCTTAAATTTTAAAACAAAAAAAAACTAAAAATATTGTTATCATTCATGCTCCTTCATAGTACTTTAATCTGCTTGTGTGTCGCGTTTCAAGATACAGCAGACTGCATTTTATCTAAATCGCCTTTTTACATTTAAACATTAGGGAAAGTAGGAAAATAAATTAGTTAAAAGTAAATATAATGTATAGTTTTATATATGGTACTATTTTATAAATAAAAACACACTTAGTTTACGTTAGAACACTACGAATAGAAGACACTTTTTTACTCAATTCAAATCGTCCGTAGCTTGATCATATCCAATTATTTAATTTGTAAAATTCTAACAATATCACTTCGTAAGTAACAATAGTTGTGTATACCTGAAAAACAAAATACAATAAAATTTTAAAAATATGAAACCGAAAACTTTGTAATTTTATACTTCAAAGCCGTACGATACAAATTTAATGTAAATTTGTTTGTAACCTTAACTGTATTAGAAACTATACCAATGCATATTTACAAACAAACAAACCTCGTAGATTTCACAGACCATTGCCGAAAGGTATATCGTGTGGTGTTAGACAGTGCTCTTCCAAGGGAGGGAACTACTAGAATAGCTAATAAGTTAACGAAAACTGTGAAATTTGTTCTTGTGAATAACGTAGAAGCTACCGTCTTTTGTTGTTTAATTTAGCATATTCAATTGTTTTAATATTAAGATATTTTTAATTACATATTTGGATCAACAACTTGAATGCGTGTGTATGGTTCTAACAATATAGGCACATAAACATTGCCTTATTAAACTGTAATGTGTGTGCTAAATCATACAATAATTTGAAGGGTCGCAACCCTTCAAATTAGTGTATGATTTAGCACTGACATATTATTTGAAATTATGTACTCAATTCGTGTTTTGTATACACTTTTAAACACATTATATTATGTGTGCTATAAATGAGCGTGTATGTGTGTATGCCTATTTTGGTATAAATTACTAGATTAATCATTTTAATAACAAGTATTACATTGTCACAGTAGTTACTTCGTTTTTGCAACATTACAGTAACCTTTTAATCCACATACAGTTTTAATAGGAGGCTGAATGGATAGGATGACTTTGCTTGGAATGAATGCGATAAAAAATATTATAAGGTAATGTAAATTAACACAACAGTTCGTCTGACTAAGAAAATTACCGATATACATACCGTTAAAATCGTGCCACGTGTCACGTAAAAGAAATCCAAACCACTTATAGCAATTTTTATAGTCTTGACCTGATCTATGTATCTCTGAACCTGAAAGGTGAAAAAATTATAAAAAGAACTCCAAAAGAAAACCAAATACTTTAAGCGTTATAATAATAATTTTACCACATCCGATTTTCTGATCCTAAACTAATCAGAGCCTGTGCTATGGTAATCAGACTGCTGATAAACATACTTAAACACTTCTAAATACATACATTTCATAGATTAATTACACCCAGAAACAGAACAAATGAACGTGCTCATTACACAATATTTGTCCTTGGTGTGAATCGAACCCACGACCTCCGACTTAGCAGTCAGGTTCACTAACTACTAAACCAACAGGCCTATCAGTCAGATGTAAGGTTTACCCTTAGCACAGAACTGAGGGCAAACCTTACTTCAGACATGCAACCAACCAACTGAATTCGGTTATCGTTAGACCTAACTCAGGTAGCGTAACTTGGCCTTACTATCTGGGGAAGCCAGGAATCGAGGGGGACCTGAAATAACATGGTCAGGGTCCTCCTCGGAGTAGGGCGCCTGCAACCCGCCATCAGGTGGATTTTAGCAGAAACACCACCTACTTCTGGCTCCTGCGTCCCCGAGGAGTCAGAAATCCTACGGGATTTTCGACCCAGTCAACAAAAAAAAAAAATGAAAACAAAACTATAAAGCCGATGCAGCACGCACACTTGACGACTAAAAATCAACTAATCAAACTTTCGAAAATGGCTGCAAAACTTCTATTTGATCAAAGTATCGAACAACTATTGGGTATTGCATCACGTGTAAAGTACTATACAAAATGATAAATCGTATTGTTTAACATACATATGAATAAAACTATAAGCTATAATTATAGCTTAACTAAACTAAATAAAAGACTCGATACTTATTGAGTCTTTTAATTAGTTTACTTTTCGTCTTCAAAGCTCTTTGCTAAGTATTGTTATACGCAAATAGCAGTGGTACATTACCCACTGGTAATGTTATAGGCAATCCAACTCTAGTAATTAAATTAATAAAATATTAAAAAAAAACGTAGGTACTTACCTCAGTACTAAACTTAAAGGTAGGCAAGTCCTGTAAAATATACACGGGTACGGCACCATTGGTGTATACCCTAGCAGATAATACTAGAACCAGAGTAGTCCGCAGTATTATGTACAACAATGAATAACCGAAGTATGTATAGCGATTCACAATTAATAGCAATCTGTAGAGAAAAAAATAACATTTTTATTATTATTTCAAGAGCTGTTTAATGACATGCAAAATGATTATAAAAAGTTAAATTATTTTAGGACTTCAGTTTCATCATCATCATCATCATCAACAGCCTTTAATAGTCCACTGCTGGACATAGGCCTCTTCTTAGAAAGGAGGCTTTGGCCCACTATACCACGCTGGCCAGACGGGTTGGTATAGGGTTTGTGTCAAGCTTTCCTTCTCTTCTTCTTCAACTCAGTTTAAAATCTAGCTATTATTAATGCATCTCGAATGTGTTAATCAATGTTGATAATAATTAATTAAATCTATTTGTTCATTCTTCAGTACAAGTCATGACTTCAGTTGACTAATGCTCTAACCGAGCGACACTAGGCCCCGTATTAGGTCACAATCTCTGAGTGTTTATTTAATCAGTTGAAGAGCCGAATGGGAAATGACGACTAATGTGCAAGTGAGTTAGTGATCTCAACCATTAGACAACATAAATTATTTTCTCTTCGATTCATGGGAAATGCCATGTAGGTAATTTTAATTGAATTATTTGGTTATTTATGTTTCATTTTCACAGGTTACCGTAGTATTTTAAAGTATGATGCGACTTCTATACCTTTTTCATCGTCTATTAGTTTTATGTTAGCAATTGACTGCACGGATGGCATAGTGGTTTAAGCAGTCACCTCATTGCTTCCTACTGCGCTGAGTGTTGTGGGTATGATCCCCACATGGGTCATCTACATAAATTGATTGGTGTGATAGTTACACAAATTGTCGTACTGAGTCTGGGTGTTCTTTGTGTCCGTTGATGAAACGTATGTTTGTAAAGTCGCCACAGGGTGTATTCCTAATGCGGGAGTTATCTTTTTAAAAAATAAATCAATTATAAATTTGACAATGACATAAAGTGATTTTCATATTAGATAGTCGACTTGCATGCCTCTATTGCACCCTCTGTCTCATAATAAAAATCAGACTAAGAGGGCCACTTATACTTACATTAGATTAAGCTGAAACGTACATTCGAGGAAAGGCAAAGAATCATTGCATATTCTTAGAATTCATTTTGAAGTTTTATAGTGAACCTGATTAATTAATATAGGCTTCATAAAATTCATTCTTCTCTTACATAAAAACTATTACAAAGATATGTGCTCTAACTATAATGTATTTAATTGTTAATAATTCAAAAGGGATGATAATAATAATAATATGTTTAAGATAAGTATTAAATTATGTAATATTGATTTACTTACGACAATTCTTTTTGGTCCCTTTTACAAGTATAATGTTGTTCCAAAAAACTATTACTGTCACTGGAAAAATATTAAACGTTTTATTTACAAAAAAAAAAGATTAAAACTTGTTGTCGAGACTTTAAATATTTTTTAAATAGTAGTCGCAAGGTCATTAAAATCATCTACAGCCTTTAATAGTGCCCTACTTTACATAGGCTTCTCCTTAGATTGAAGGTTTTGACCACGCTGGCCAGACCGGGTCGGTGTAGGGTTTTATAAAAGTTTTCTTCTATTTGCAGTGCTGTTATCCTGCGTACTTTGCCTCCTTAGTCGGCTCTTGCAACACCCATGGGATGAATATTGGTGATGCCACTCCGTAATATAAATCCGCCACAATACGGACAAGTTCGCTACGGCATATCTACAATTTTGATCATTGTGAACACTAGAATTCATATCGCAAGTTTTTCTTCCTACTATTCTGTTCTTTCTTGCACTTACACATAGCTAACGCACCTAATTATGGTAAAGAATGTGGAGTCACATGATATAAATGTACACAGAACATCGCGGTGTTCAAACGTTGAGATGGTGTATGATCTTTAAGCTCATCGCGCTTGGTGTTCAGCTTCTCTCTTCGCTTATACTCAGAAGCATACGTGTGTGTATCTCCACTCTGACCCATTCTCAATAATTACTATTCGTTGGGATCGATATTGTACTTCTTCAATCTTTTAAGCACATCTCTGTCCCACAAGAACTACGTCTACGGCCATGGTTTCGAATGTCTTATAGGAGATGACCACGGTTATAAAGAATCATAAGAATTTAAAAAGCTTTTATGTATATAGGAGATAGCATAACATCACTCACCTTATAACATAAAATAATTGTATGCAAACGGAGAACAAGTTAGTGGTTACGGATGCAAGTAGGCAGATTCCAAACCAAACATTTATCAATTTCACTAAATGCACAATTTTCAAATATTCTAAACGCAAATTTTCACACTCAAAAAAATCCTAAAAAGTAAAAAAAATGTTAATATTCCTTAAAATTTTAAAAGAAAAAAAAATCTTTTCTTTTTTGACTTGGAAGACCCACTCCGAGTGTACTAAATTTAATTCAAAAACATACGGTAATTTAAATACAGCTGACTTCATGAAAATAGAGCTTACCTGTTGTACAGCTTTTTTCAGGCGCTTATTGTGTACAAGAAAATATTCTGACAAATATAAGCTTACTAGAACCATGATGAAGTCATTGTAACTATAGTTAAATGAACCCTGTAAGGTGAAGATCTAAAAAAAAATCAAGTATAAATTTCATATCATAATAGTTACTTGTATTTTATAATAGACTAGCTTTGACTGAAAAGTGTGTCCTGTTTTATAACGTTACGTTAATAATAAAGAAATAAACATACTAGTTTTCACATTTATAATAATAATAAGGGCCATACCCATACTAATACTAATAACAATCACAATTTTATTTTTACGAACGCTATGGTCAACCTATTAACCAGTACCAACACAAATTAATATCATCTGACCATTCAAAAAACTGATTGGAAAAAATACCTCAGTGACTACCCATCTCCACGCACTACCACGTGTAAACTCATAAATCGAAGCCTTGTACAACTTCAAATAAATGTCGATTACGTTGTCTGGATCGCACGAATAAGCGATAATAAGCCCGTGAGCTACGAACAAAATATGCTCCACTGAAATCAAGTAAACAACATATTTATTTACTTCACTAAACCTTTACCTACCCAAGACTTAGTTACTAAATTTATCCCCCATTATAGTTTTAGTGTACTTTATTTATTTAATAAATACCAAGCCACGAATACTAATTATGATAAAGAGGATTTTGTTTAAGTATAAAGAGTGTGTTTGGTTCAAATTGAAAAATTCTTTTAGTTTTGGATAACCCATTTATCGAAGAAGGCTATATGATATCACGCTACGATCAGTAGGAGCTGAGCATCAATGAAAAATTTTGTACAAATGGGGGAAATGTATGTCTTTTGAGAGACTCAGATGGACTCGATCGTATTTTCTTATTTATTCAAAAAATATGATTTTATAGACACATGTAATAGGTGGTCTGTCCAACTTTGCATTTTATGTAGGGTAGATGCTCAATACTATTGCCGGTGTATGGCAATAATTTCTGTTACTATATATGGTACCAAAGATAAAATGATTAGTTAAAAGTCTTACCTGCACAATTTGCTAGCATTAACGCCGTAGTCAAAGTTATAATGGTTCTGAAGTTCCTTCTGAAATAGGGCAGCTGGTTTTCTATTTCTTCAATGCTTTTTATTAGTAATGGCCAGTTGTAAGCGTTTCTCGCTAGAATCAAGGCTGCCGCTAAATTTGAACCGTAGAAGATAAAATGGACTGGAAATTTGCAAATTCTTTACATTTTTATTATAATATTGCCTCAGTAGAATATAATTTGATCGCTGTCACAACAAAACTTTGTAAAAAAATAAAGTGATAAAAAAAAACAAAATAAAACTTACACATAGAACCGAGCTGCACCCCCTTCTGGAATATTTGATATACAGCGGAGAGACACAGCAGTATTTGTCCAAACATGCTGAACGCGTAATAAATAGTATACGGTGACCAAAGAGTGTACCTGAAAAATATTAACTAGGTATGTAAATTACGTACTTGATTATCCTTTTTAATGTGTAACATCTTTCAATTCGCTGTTCTAAAATCTGTGAGGGCGATTTAGTGAAAAGAGACGAAAGTGTGTGGCAAAAAGCCGGGCAACTGATTTAAACAATGAGCGCACACTTAGGGCTCGTGTAGCGTGTACGCGGTTTCGCGCGACTTCGATTACGCCAACTCGATAGAACATATAGAACTAAACGACACAGCGCAGCGTGCCGCGACTGAAGACCAGCGGTCGCCAGACTTGCAGCGACCAGTCGCTAGAGGTGGCAATGGATGCAGGAGACGTAATTGATGCAGTTCGATGCCGCCCGTTAATCTATTCCTTCTTCTCATCCTTTTAATGGCAGAGTTTTTCTAAAATAAAGTACTGATAATAGTATCAGAAATTTTATTGCTGGAAAATTCTGTAGTAGAAGAAGATTACTAAGATCGGAAATGTATATAGATTCATTTCAACTCTTATTACTCTTCGCACTCAATTAGTAAATTCAGTACTAAACCCCAAATAGGTAACTAAATTATGAATTGCCATCGATAGGTTGCATGGTAGTCTGTTGTTTGTAGTCGCTCATCGCTAGTCACCCGTAAGCTGCACTGTTTTTCATAATTAAATGAAAGCGAGTCGGCGCAATCGAAGTCGCTGGCGCGCTACAAGAGGCCTTTTTTTGTTGCTGTCGGGGTGGAATATCTCTTCGGATCTCCAGCTCCTTGGGAAACAGGAATATTTGGTGTTTCCACTAAAAACCACCCCGAGGGCCAGCACCCTGTTCTGGGGAAAACCCGGGTCATGTGATTTCAGGTCCTAGTCCGCGGATCTATAGTGCTATAGGCGGCGGCAGCTTGCAACTTGCGGCCGCGTCAAGCATGCGAGTGTCACTGTACTCCGCATTAGGCACATATCCGAGGAGCCAGGTGAGGCTCCAACGGTGACTTTGTAATCGTCCTTTGGATCGGAGGTCAGCAGAAGGTCAAAAAGTGAAGGCTCATGACTTTCTACATCTGGGACTCGCGTGGGAGCTGATACCAGTTGCAACAAGCCATAAGTCAAAGCAAAATTGTAAAAAGATCTCCCCGCGTAATCGGTTTTGCGTGAGCCAAGCCATTCGGCGTTGTGAGAGTTAAAGTCACCAAGTATCACGATCTCTGCGAACAGGATCTGCTGCAGCATGGAATCTGTAGCCACATGGACATAGTCCATCAGTCGGTCAGTTTTGGTGTCACCGCTGTGGGACCTGTAGAGGGATGCATAGACGCGGGGATGGTCGTCGCTGTCTACACGGAGCCACAAGATGGAAAGGTCATGTTCTCCAAGATTGCCAAGGCGGTGAGAAATATCATCTCTAACGTACACGCACACTCTAGTTTTTTGTGAGTCCGTGGTATCGCACCGCTCGAGCCGGCCCATTTTTGCCGGGTTGATATAGGGTTTGTCTTAATCCGTCCACACGCGGATAAATGTGAAAAAGATGTTTAGATACATTCGGAGTTCTTACCTTAATTTATCACTAGATTGATAGGTTAAACCTGTTAAAGGTAGAAAGCCCATAATTCTACTAAATATCAGAGCTCCTCTTGTAGTCAAATAAAAATTACCAGGCTGCTTCTTGTCACGAAATCTTCCGCGCGAAATAGACCTGGAATTTAATCTAATACGCATATTTTTCTCCTGTGTCTAGGAGACTGCAACCATTATGCAAACAGAGCTGTTACTGAACGTTTTTGTGTATTTTCCATACATAAACATAGGAACAGTTTGTTATTATTTCTCAACCACAATCCAATGAGGGTGTTTACAAGAAAATAGAACAAAAGAAACAGACAAAGGTTTGATTTGAAGCAACGAACTTCGTGACACTTATGTGTTTTCATGTCGTGAGCTATTAATTAATGTTTACATAAAACGAACTATATTTTGGCGACCGGATGGCGTAGTGGCTTGTGTAACGGACTGCTATTCCAAAAGGTCGCGGGTGTTATTCCCTTTCAAGTTAAACATTTGTGTTCATGAACATTTCATGTTTGGTTTAGTCTGGGTGTTCTATGTATAATATGTATGTATGTAATGAAATGAATGACATTTCATTAATTTGAATTTCGCGCATCGAAGTGACATGTGAACTATGATTCAATGGCAGATGACGCTTAGATTATTTTGTGTATTTTATTGTTATAAAAACTTGTAGAGAGATAAACCGAAGGATACGATTGATTGATATTGATTAATTTTATTTACATTTTATACTAAAAATAAAACTAATGAGAAGAAGCCATGTAAGACTTGTGAATCATTGGACAAAGGAATAAGATATCATCCGGAGGAGTCATGTTGGTTCAAGAAAAATAAAAATGAACCTGAAAAAAGGATGATATGAATATAGCATACATGAAAACGGTTAATGGTGTGAAAAAGATGGATGGCTTGATAACAATAAAAATAAAAATATTTGATTTAGAAGAAGAGGTGGATGTTTACATAGTAGAAAATGAAGATTTTGAAGATTTCATAATCGGATTGGATATGATAAAGAAATTCAGATTAACCCAAAATGAGAACTTGCAGATAGAACAAAAAAAAATAACAAATAAAATAGACAGGATGTCTAAAGATAACAGAAATGAAGATAAGAATATAAAAACATATACAGTAAATTTCAATGAACACATAGAAACAGAGGAATTTGTAAGTATGCCAGACCATTAAGATAATGAAAAGAAAATTGAGATAGATAAAATTATAAAGGAATATAAAACAATTTTTGCTAAAGACAAGTATGATATAGGAACAGTTAGAGATTATGAAGCTCATATAGAGTTACTAGTAAACAAATATTGTTGTAAAAGACCATACAGATGTACAATACAAGATAAATTAGAAATTGAAGAGCAAATATCCATGTTACTAAAGAATAATTTAATAGAAGAATCTTACAGTCCTTTCGCTGCTCCAGTGACAGTGGCTTTTAAAAAAGGTGAAAATAGAAAATCCCGTTTATGTGTAGATTTCAGAGAATTGAACAAAATTGTTGTACCACAAGCTCAACCTTTTCCTTTGATAGATGATCTAATTATTAAAACTAGAAATTGCAAGTATTTTACTACACTGGATATAAACTCAGCATTTTGGGCAATACCATTATGGGTGGAAGACAGAAGTAAAACAGGATTTGTCACTCAAGATGGCCACTTCCAATGGACCTGCCTCCCTTTTGGTTTGAAAACATCACCAGCAATTTTCCAGAGAATTTTAAGCAATATTCTAAGAAAACACAATCTCACAGGATACTCTGTAAATTATATTGACGATATTTTGATATACTCGTCTACCTTTGAAGAACATATAAGGCACATAAGAAATGTATTAGAGGCAATAATTAAAGAAGGCTTTAGATTGAAGTTTCAGAAATGTACCTTTGCTTCAGACTCAGTAAAATACCTCGGCCATATAATTCAGAACAATTCAGAAAGACCACTAAAAGACAATTTGATTTCAATAAGGAATTTTCTAACTCCTAAGACGCAAAAGAACATCAGACAATTTTTGGGAAAAATAAACTGCTACCATGAATACATACCAAGAAGTGCAATTATCTTAGATCCATTACATAATTTATTAAGAAAAAACGAGAACTTTCTATGGTCAGAGAAGTGTGAAGAATCATTTAATCAGATAAAAAGATATTTATGTTCTCAACCGGTCTTAGAAATATTCGACAAAGACTTACCAATCAAAATCTTTACCGATGCATCTTTGGAAGGCATTGGAGCAATATTAAAACAAACACAACTAGATGGTAAAGACAAACCGGTGGCATATTTCTCAAAAAAACTGAATGAACATCAAAAACGGAAAAAGGCTATATATTTAGAATGTCTTGCTATGAAAGAAGCCGTTAAATATTGGCAGCACTGGCTCATTGGAAAACAATTCACTATTTACTCAGATCACAAACCTCTAGAGAACATGAACATTAAATGCAGGACAGATGAAGAATTGGGTGATCTCACATATTACCTATCTCAGTATGACTTTACAGTAAAATATATACCTGGTAAAGAAAATGTAGAAGCAGACTGTTTGAGCCGAAATCCTGTATTAGAATCAGAAGATAACAGAGAGGAACTATTGAGAATAGTTAATTTAATACAAATAAAATATATAGTTGAAGACCAAGAGAAAAATGAAACAATACAAGAAAAGAAACAAAATTTAATACACAAAAATAAAATCTATTATAAAAAAATGAAAAAACAGGAAAAGATTATCCTCTCAGAAGAATTTAGTAAAAAACTTATAAAAAAGGTGCATGAAGATTTATGCCATATTGGGATTAGGCAATTGCAGAAGAAAATAAGTCCTATATATACAGCTATAAACCTAACAAAAAATATTGTAAATATTTGTAAAACATGTGAAATATGCATAAAAAATAAATCAAGATGTCAAAAAAAAATTGGATTAATGTCACAACTGGGACCAGCTACAAAACCATTTGAAATAATGTAAATGGATACTATTGGTGGCTTTGGAGGATCTAGGTCTACAAAAAAATACCTACATCTTTTAGTAGACCACTACACAAGATATGCATTTATTGCGACTTTAAAAACATAGAATGCAAGTGACTTTATAAATCTAACAAAGAAAGTACTAGAGACAGATGAAATTGGAATTATCCTGACAGATCAATATCCGGGCATTAATTCACGAGAATTCAAGCAATACTTGCAGGAGAATAATATTAAACTAATTTTTACAGCTGTGAATACACCATTCTCGAACGGCTTGAATGAAAGATTAAATCAAACAATAGTAAATAAAATAAGGTGTTAAATTAATGAGAAAAATAATAAGAGAACATGGACAACACTAGCAAGAGAATGTATACAGAAATATAATGAAACAGAACACTCCGTTACAGGTTTTGCACCAAAATATTTACTGGATGGTACAAATGTCAATATTCTACCAAATGAAATTAAAACAATGGAAAAGGAAGAAAAGTGGATTGCTGATAGAAGATTGGCATTAGAGAATACAATAAAATCCCATGAGTACAACAAGAAAATATTTGATAAAAATAGAAAAATGCAAGAGTTTAATGTAGGAGACAGTGTATATGTAGAAAATGGAAATAGACTGAATAAAAATAAATTAGATAAATAAAAAATAGGCCCTTTCAAGATAATAGAAAAAATATCGAATTCTATTTATAGGATTGATACAGGCAACAGAAAAACAGAATCAACATCATTTCACATAACAAAATTACAACCTGTCGTAACAGAAGCTGAAGAAGATGAAGGAGAAGAAAACGAATATGAAGAGTTATCTT